TCTCTTCTATGTGAGTTGTTTAAGCCTTTCCAAGGCTTCAAGAATTTTTAGTTCTTCTTTGACAAGAGCAAAATATTGAAGGGAAGTAACGGAGATAAAAAAGCAATAAGAAAATAATGTAGAAATGTTCCACTTGATTATTTGCAGTATTTGTGCCAAAAACTGCAGCCAAATGAAAGGCTGCAGAAAGTATCCATGCTATCATAAGCATGATATTTTGTGTCTGTGTGCAATGGTCTTCATTCTTATTATTTTGAGAACTTTCAGTGAATGTTCATTGAAGTTGCAAATTAATTTTTCAATATTCTATCTCTGAAAACAAGGAAATTTTTTCCCATTTTTGTCTGCCATCTAGTGTTAAGAGGCAGAATATCTGTGTTTTGCTCTTGCAAAGCTTAAAATACTTGGGAGCACTACACAGCTTCTGCCTATGTCATACTATGTTGATGAAAATAGAAAACAGCATTTTCCCTAAGGCTTAATTGAAGATGTTAGATTTAAGCAATTATCTCTGATAGATACCATTATTAGCAGAATAGTACCCTACCGATGTACATTAATTTGTCACGGTGCTTTGAAATACTTGGATATTTTAAATTTATTTGTCTCTTAGGTGACAGTGCTGTGTTTCCAGGATACCATCCATAATCAATATGGCAAGTAAAAATAAAAACCCTGCCTGTATATAGTCAAATGCTATTCATATAATACCTTTGCATCAAACGTACAGTGAAAGTATATGCAGCATTTTTTTCTCGGAATTAATATCTCACCCCCGGAAGTTGTTCTATTCAAGTGTAATTCATCTAAGATTAAGCCACTGCACTCTGCAACTGGAATAGCACTGAAGAGTAAGACTTAATTTTGTAAGGAGTTCCAGAATTAATTAATTTCAGTGTATTTGCACCCTCTTTTATAGTGAAGGGGAGCGTAAGAAAATAGAAAACTTCCATATTTTATAGATCAAGAGAGAGAACCCTAGAAAGAGAAGTTTTGGAACAATTATTTCTGGTAAATATCCAATTTTTGTCAAACTGCCTCATAACACATTATGACTTTCTCTCCAAGTAGCAGTCCGAGACAAATGTACAAATGTTGAGTGCTAGAAATAATTAATGGCACTTAGAAGTATAGCATACATATAAGTGAACATAGTTAACTCACTTGTAGTATGGACATCACAATACATTGGCTATAACATGACAAAAATCAGCTACATCAAAGAACTCTCATTAAAGTAGGAAGATTTATCACAATTTTTGATCTGTAACTTGACTTACAAAATTTACATCTTACCACATATGAACATGCACATTGAGAAAACATTTTGAAAGCCTTTGATTTTTTTAATTAAGTTACAGGGATAGCACTCATTAAAATCAAACTGTTGTCCTAAGCTGGAAACTATCACGTTTTAAGGCACCACTCTGACAGAGCTCAAGTCCTGAGTATGCAACCTAAAAGAGATCAGCAAAAAAACCATCAATAATCACAACAAATTCTTGCTTGAGATTTCCCATGGGAAGTATTGAAACAGAAGTATTTTTAAAACAGTACATGGACATCCTATTAAAATTAAGATGTGTATCAAAATGCCATAAATGGGATCATTTACACACTATGTGAAAACTACTGTAATTGGAGTTAGCCACCCTCAGAATACTGCAGGTGGATTCATCTCTCATCTAAAAAGTAGCTGTTTAGTCAGATGGGATGAATCAACTCACTTTTGACTATTAAGAGAGTTTAAAAATTAGCTTAGTTGCAGTGTCTATCTTTTAAATAAATAAAATGGAGATCAGTTCTTCTTAATGTCATGACTGCAGCAAAGAAAAGGCTAACTTGGCAAAATGTTTGAGGAGGTGTGGATGCAGAATTTGTGCCTGGGAATACAGAAATTTATCTTTTCTTGTCCAGTGTTTTTTAGTTCTTTCGGAAAGTTGTGTGGTTGTTTTGAGAAACTGATGAATCATGGGTCTCTGAACACGTCAGATCAGACAGGTCTGTTCGTCCTCAGGGAGAGCCACGTGGCAAGAATGCATAGGTTTGTGTTTAGACCTGAAATGTGAAGTTCTTTAATCTTTTCCTTAGCAAAGGTATGAATTGCCATACCACTGTACATATCCCAGTGGTGAGATGAATGCCTGAGCAGGCACAGAAGAGAATTTTACAATGATATTATGAGAGAAAGTGTGACTGTTTAGGAAGGACCTATGTGCAGCTAAAAGGGATCAGTTGCCACCTACCTCCAATACCATATTTGCCAGTCAAAGAGAGGCAGGATGTGCCCTGGCAGCATGAAGCTTAACGTGGCCAAACCTCCTTCTTACTGAAGTGGTAGGTCTTGTTTTGCCTAAGCCTTTGATGTTGTAAGAATGCAAGGTAGCCTGTTTAAAAGCCAGCTCAGACTGTGGTTTCAGATGGGCCACTGCTTTGTAAGTCATCTGATGAGATCCAACTCAGTTCACCACGCTGGCAAGCAAACAAGAGTCCTGGGGCTTGCACAAGGGCAGACACAGCTGGGGAAGCTGCTTAAGCTAGCACTGCTACCACAGTCTAAAACGTATCAGTACTGTGTTGCTCTCATAACAGTAAGTGGCCTTTACCTGAAGAAACTCATACCACAATGGGCAGCAAAACCTCCCTGCTTAGCTACATCTGGCACTTAGGGCAGACGCTACTACTGTTTGACCTATTTGGTTTAACAATGAGCTTAACCATATATAATGAAATCCCACGATCTATTTTATCAAAATAAAGAATATTCTTTTTTTACAAATAGCACACAAGTCTTAAAAACAGTTGCCAGGAGTAAACCATCACTAGATATCACAGCCAGATGTGTAGTCATCCACAGACAAAGCAGACACACCATACCTGCGGAACAGGCCACTGGAATCCAGAAAGCAGCAACTCTGAAAGCATTTAGGAGGGCACAGATGAGCAGCGGGGTGTGAACTGTCACTGTCCTGTGCAAAAGGATCCTAGATAATACGTGGCTCATGAGCTATTTGTGGCCACTGAGTACTTCACTGAGGAAGTGATAGTGGAATACTGCCTTTAAGTCTTGCCTCGATACTCGCTTAAGAAAGCAAAAATTTCATTGCATTGGGTTTACATGACAAGGTTTTGGTAGTGGGGGAGGGCTGCAGGGGTGGCTTCTGTGCTAGAAGCTTCCCTCATGTCCGACAGAGCCGATGCCAGACGGCTCCAAGACGGACCCACCGCTGGCCAAGGCCGAGCCCATCAGTGACAGTGGTGGTGCCTCTGGGGGAACAGATTTAAGAGAGGGGAAAAAGTTGCTGTGCAATAGAAAGTGCAGCCGGAGAGACGAGTGAGAACATGTAAGAGAAACAGCCCCGCAGAACCCCAGGTCGGTGAAGAAGGAGGGGAGGAGGTGCTCCAGGCGCCGGAGCAGAGATTCCCCTGCAGCCCGTGGGGAAGACCATGGTGAGGCAGGCTGTCCCCCTGCAGCCCAGGGAGGTCCATGGGGGAGCAGATCTCCACCTGCAGCCTGGGGAGAGAGGACCCCACGCCAGAGCAGGGGGATGCCCGAAGGAGGCTGGGACCTGTGGGGACCCCACACCAGAGCAGGCTCCTGGCAGGACCCCTGGACAGAGGAGCCCACGCTGGAGCAGGTTTTCTGGCAGGACTTGTGACCCTGTGGGGGACCCACGCTGGAGCAGTCTGTGCCTGAAGGACTGCAGCCCGGGGAAGGGACCCACGCTGGAGCAGTTTGTGAAGAACTGCAGCCCGTGGGAAGGACCCACGTTGGAGCAGTTCATGGAGGACTGTCTCCTGTGGGAGGGACCCCACGGTGGAGCAGGGGCCGAGTGAGGAGTCCTCCCCAAGGAGGAAGGAGCGGCAGAGACAAGGGGTGAGGAACTGACCCCAGCCCCCATTCCCCGTCCCCCTGTGCCCCCTGAGGGGAGGAGGTAGAGAATTTGGGGATGGAGTTGAGCTGGGAAGGAGGGAAGGGTGGGTGGAAGATGTTCCAAGGTTTGTTTTTATTTCTCACTCTCCTACTGTGTTATTAACCAGCAATGAATTTTGATTTCCCCAAGTTGGTTCTGTTTTGCCCATGACAGCACTTGGTAAGTGACCTCTCCCTGTTCTTATCTCGACCCATGAGCTTTTCATCATTATTTTCTCTCCCCTGTCCTATTGATGGAGAAGTGATAGAGTGCCTTGGTGGGCAGGTGGCAGCCAGCCAGGGTCAACCCACCGCATTGACAGGAGGCAAAAAAGGAAGTACAACTTTATTATTCAGTTAATATTAATGAAATATTCAAGAGCTGGAAACTGTCTTGCATTGGGAGATGTAGGAAGTTCAATCTTTTCAATTTATAAAAAAGATGTGATAATAATTACAACACGCAATGGATGTAAATTTTCATTTGGGGAAGAAAATAGCAGGTAAGAAAATTAATTTCACTTTTTAATTTGTGACAAAGAACAGAAGCAGATGACGGGCATCTGAAACTACAAATGAAACACCACCCTCATCAGCCGGCCGCGGCAGGCAGCACATTCACCACCTTTCCCCATCGCAGGCCTGCTGCTGCTCTTAAGCCTGGCTGGGTAATACCGAGGTGCCCCCTAACCCTGTCACACCTCCGAAGAAAACACAGTATTTGTGATTTATTCTCCGAGCACTGAGCGGGAAACGCGGGACCACAGGCTGGTGCCGCCCGCCCGCCCGTCCGGCCTGAGGTGAGGCCTGAGGCGACGTGAGGCCTGAGGTGAGGCGAGCCCCGCCCCCCGCGTGCCGCTCCGCACGTCGCCGCCGCCGCGATGAGCTGGCCCCGCCTAAGCTCCGCCCCGCGAGGCGCGCCGCCGCCCCACGTGACACGGCACGCCCCGCCCCTCCCGCGGCGGCCGGGGAGATCGGCGCGTCCCTCAGCTGTTTCCGGCGGTGCTGGGGG